CCAGGAAATGAAGTTGGCCAGACTGTGATCCTGATCAGATCACATCACTCAATTCTAGTGGTTGTTTATCAGTAGCCTGCTTTATACTCACCCTGCTCTAAAAGTAGGCCTTCAAAGCCTAATTAATGATAGAAGATTTAAAATAAGAAGTTCAGTTACATAATTGGCTTATCAAGATTAATAGTTTCAATTTGTGACATATGGACAAATTATAATTTAAATATCACTTGACAAATAAAATCTTAAATAGAATATGAATTTTCTGAATCAGTATTTTAAAAATTATTTAAATCTTAGTTATTTTTGGAAGAAATCAAAATTTTAAAAATATAGTTTATACTTCATTACAGTCACAAATGAAATAACAATGATTCTATTTTCATAATTATGCAAAAAATGGTATTAATTGTTCAATGTTGGCATATGGTTTTGCAGGCCTAATTTTTGGTGCATACTTTTTAATGCATTTAAGAGTAGGTCCTGTCTGTGTCTCTATATTACATAATTTCTTACATTTAACCATTATGAAATAATATTTTCTCTAAAATTTACAAAAAGTTTTTTTAAGGTAAAATATGCAATCTACATTCATTGTTATGATAAGTTTTCCTTAGAACATTTTACTGAAAATACAAAAAATTTTCTATTCTATAAATTTGTTTATATTTCATGTCAGTCATATATATTTTATTCTTTTTTAGAAAAGAATGAATTATAAGTTTATAAACAAAACGTATTAATTTAGGAATGATTCTTCTATATAACAGAAAATCAAGTGTACATAGATTAACAAATATAAGAAAACTATATATTTTTAAACAGTTTAAACTAAAAAAGTCTAAGTTTTATAATTTTTAAATAAAATATTATTTACTGAAACAGTCTGTACATTTATAGTCAAACTAAATGCCAGTAATGAGTAAACTTTTTATTAATTCTGCCCCCATTTGAAATATGACACATGACTCCTATATAAAATTATTTTCATTAAAAGAAACTTTTCAATGAGAATAACATAATTTTATGTTAAAAAATTCAAACAATTTAACAGCACATATTTCAAAACTAATCAAATATAGATAAGTTACTATCTAATTTTTCTATTACTTTAAGCAAATTTTGATACAATTTAATTACTATTCTAATTATTAATTGATGTAGCCATATATTAAAGTGGTATAATCACACACACACACACTAATATACTTTGAAATTTAAACAAATGAATACATAAAAAACATATCATATAACATGGTAGTTAAGTTTCTATAAAATCTCATGTAGTGCAAAATCATGTTATACAGGACTAAGAACTAGTATGAAAAGTTGATTGATACAAAAACAAATAAAAAGTATACTATTTTATTTTTTATAACTAATTTTTATTAAAAACAATAATAACTGAACGAACATCTTACAAACTGTGATACATGCATGTCAGATAATGTATTTTCATTTAATTTTCTTGTTTTTCATCACTGCTAAGCATAATAAAATAAAATGTTTTCTCTGCTGTAGAATATTTTTTACTTTTTGAGCTTTCTTCTGCAGCATTTAGATTGTGTCTTCTTCTCTCTTTAAAAAATCAATAACCTGGATTTGTAGTTTTGCTTGATAGATCTTTGTAAATTTCATGGTATGGAGCTAAACTATTTTTAAAGCACCTTTTTGAATTTTGTGCTTCTTTCAATTGAGAGAGATACATTTAAAAAGTAAGATTCTAATTACTTAACCAAGTTTATACCTTCCATATGTTTTTTAATGTAAAATTTTAAACTCTAGAATTTTCTTCTGTAATATCCATCCTCTGAATTAATTTGATTTACCTCCAATGTCATTTCTATCAAATTTGCTTTGCCAGTATCTTTTTATCAATAATTCTTGAATGACTGCAGTAGTCATATCATGAAAACCTTCCCCTCCTAATAACTTAACAAGTTTTTCCAAAACATCAATTCCATTTTCTGCCAGTTTGATCATACTTTCTAAATAAACTGATGTTGCTATTTTTCCACTATGCATTTAATGCTAATAGCTTTATCTTAAAGTATTTTTCATTTGTGGACTGTGTCAAAATCAAAGATTCATTTACTTCAAATATGAAGTAAGTAAATCAAATCTGGTTTCTAAATTGAAAGAAACTTTACATTCAGATCCTTCAGGAAAACAATTTTTCTGATAAATCTGAAATATTTATTTTCAACAACAAAAATTAATAGAGAAATTAAAATAATTTTTTCCTGCAGTCTAAATTTTTAAAAAATCAACTCAATTTTGAAATAGACTATAATAATATTTAAATCTAAATAAGACACAGCGCGCGCGCGCACACACACACACAAAACAAAACTTCTAAACAGATATGTTTTCTCTTATTTTTTTTTTATAATGTTAAAAATAAGTAAACTGAATGCAAAAGATTTAAATGTATGTATTTTTTTTTAAACTAAATATAGTATTTCAAAACTGATATTAACAATAACTTCACTTTATTGATAAAAAAAGTCATGATAAACAAATTCATTATTAAAATAAGAATATTTAGTCTCATATTGATCAATACAGTAGAACCTCGAAAACTTGGCTCTCGATAACCCGGCACTCCGGATAACTCGGCCACACCCTGGCAGGGCAAAAAAATCCTTAATTAATTAATTTTCATTATAGACAGCTTTATAAAAGTATAAAAGCTCTCATAAAGTATTTTTCTGAGGTCTGTCTTATCAGGTAAATTACTGTACACAGTGTATTCATTAATTTTCATTTTCATGTAGTAAAGGCTCTATGCCTTCATAAAGGACGTACTTTTCCTTTGTTTAAAGGTATTTGGGCAGTTTATTCTCTGTTATATTCTCAAGTAAACAATACATACAAGTACAGTACAGTATTTTCTGAGGAAACACTCGTACTTATTTTTTTAACCCCATTCCCGATAACCCGGCATTTTCACAAACTCGCCCACCATTCGGTCCACATTAGGCCGAGTTTTCGAGGTTCTACTGTATTTAAATTTAAAATAGACTACAAAACTTAGCATTGAAAACGTTTCTTAAAAAAGGATTAAAATTTCAGGTACAAAGAATAAAATTAAAAATAAACAACTTAAGACAGTATTTGGAATAAAATATAACATTTAAAAAAATTCAGATTTATATATTTTAAAATTAATAGTAACAATTTATTTTTGAATTTAAATAAAATGATTTTATATTAAAAAATAGTAACAACAGAATAGAATTTAAGTCTTACATTATATTCACCTGCTGTTTCTACTATTAAATTACTGAATATCATGCAATAAGTTTATAAATAACTTTTAATTATTAATTTTAAAATATTTAAATCTAAACTGTTTTAAATACTATATTATATTCTATGTATTTTTTGGAAGCTGTTCAATTTTAATTTTATTTATTTGTATCTGAAAACACACACAAAATGTAACAAAATACCTCTTCATTAAAGTACAGTACATTGGCCATTTTTTTTTTATTTGCAACATTCAATTTTGTGTCCTCTTTTAAATTTAAAAAAGAAATACAAATGTACAACATATATATATAATATATAAAAGTTTTCCTTTATTAAAATAGTAGTAATAAATAATTTTGATATCTATTTCTTAGCTATAATATTTAAATAAAATCTGTATATATATAATCTTTACAAATTATTATGACATATATAACTTATTAATAATACTATAACAGAATCAAAAACTCCAGACATTAACAGACAACACAAAAAATGCTTTAGTGGAGTCCAAATGTATAAATACTAAACAATTTCAGGTATTAGTTATTTTAAAGGAATTAATTCATTAAACAAAAAAACTGGCAAAGTTAATACAAATATTATGGAAATATCAAACTAATAGATTTCAAAAACATTTAGAATGCATTTGATGCTTTGCTTCTAGAAACAAATATAAATAGAAGTAACTTAAACAATTGCTGTCAAAAGTAAGAATTTTTCTATACAATACATACCAACTGATATTCATTGAAAATGCTCTAACATCAACTTAGTCATTATACTAGAAAACTTAATATTTATTTCAGGGGAGATGAAAAACTGAAATTGTTAGGCTTATACTTCTTCACTAATTGTTTCTTTGGAAACAATAAAAAGATGCATAAACTCTCTTAATTCCTTCTCAACATCTTATTGATAACTACAATCATTTTAAAAATTTATTCTCTTATTAATTATTCCAGTAATTCATTAATTTCCTTCAACATAATAATCTTTATTGTTTTTTAATGCTTCATTTATATTTAAAACCTCTTGAAAGTATTAATTATAGTTATATACAAAATATATTTCTTTAACAAATATAGCAATTACATATATTTCAAACTCTAGCATTTCTTCTCTTGCTACTTATTCTAAAACATATTAAATGATAATGTATTCCTTTTAAGGGCTATAGTGTTATTTGTTGTTCTCCAAACCTTTTTAATAATTAGGATTTCAATCTCAATGTATTAATACAGAATAAATCTTTCCTCTTCCTACAATTCTATTTCCTCCACCAATATCGCACAGATATTACTACTATATTTTTCATATATGATAGCTGCTCTTGAATTTTTCACAACTTGAGCTAAACAACTATCTATTACTATTACTTCATACTTTTGCTATTAAGATCGGAATGCTGATAATTTATAAGATCATAACATTCTATAAATCTGCTAGAATTCATACAGACTTACAAGTATATTTCCTACTAATTGTTACAGCAAACATTATTATTATTTTTTTTTGTATTTTGTAACTTATTCTCCTGAAGAAGAGTATTAATGTTTGGAAATTTGTTTATATGTATGCCTATTTGGACTCCAATAAGACATTGTTTGCAGTAGTATTATAAATTGTATTGTATTTTTAATCTAACTAATAGCAAATTTACTGAAAAGGAAAATTTTATCAATATGAAAATCAATGATCAACTTCTTTGAAGAAATAATAAATTTTATATATAATAAAAATAATACCTTTAATACAAACTACTTCCATTAAGTTTCTTTAATGTTCAAATAAATAAGAATCCCTATAAATTTAATTGTACATTAGCAGTTCTTAAAACATTTTAAGTTATTAATTTGCAATTTTGATTTTAATTAGTTACCTGAAGTAATTGTTAATTTGGCGATGGTTTTATCTGTTTCAAATACAAAGATCTAAGTAAACCAATAGAAATTAAATAATTATGAATAAAAATAAAAAAAGTTTAGACATGAATTTAATGCACTATTCTGAAATTTCTTCTTAATAAATTTTGATTGTAAATGAAGAGAAAATACATTCCATAAAATCTAAAAATTAATATTACAATAAATCTATAAACTGCCACGTTTTTGTATTTATTTAAAAAAATATAAAAATACATTTATAAAGAAATAGTAATGCTCATTGTCTAAATTAAATTCAATTCATATAATTTAAAAAAATAAACATGCATTTTAAAGTACTATTTACTGTAGATCTATTAAATATATATATATATATATATCTATTAGCAATAGCAAATAAAATCTGAAAATTTGATTTTTTACACAAAATATAATTCATTACATAATCTTTGTTGATTCACACAAATTCTTTTCATATTTATTGTAAAAATTATGCATGAATGCAAAAAATTGTAACTACTGAATTATTGATATCTCAATATTTTTTAAACAATTAAAAAAGTTTTCTTCTATACATCATCAAATATTAAAATGATGCAAATGTGTAATGAAGTGTATTCATGAAAATATCCCCAATGAAATAAGTGTTAATGGTGATGTTATAAACATTTCTTTGCCTGATACAAAAAGCGAATAACAAAAAAAACTTACCTCATTTTATCAATAACTTGAAATTCATCTTATGCAGTAATTAATTTGCTGAACAGTTAACCCTTACACCCTTTCCCCACCAACTGGAATTTGTTTTATAGAATAAAAACACTTGCTTAATGTTGAACTGAAACTCGTGTAATAGTTATGTATCAATTATTATTGGTCAACTATCTTATTCAAGTGTAAAATCTATCAATAATGATTAATAATAATATAAGATGGAAAACTTTTTAAAAGTCTTCATGATTAATATTAAATTTATGTTGAAAGTTTTAAATTTATTTACATAGTATAAATAATTCAATACAGTGTTAAGGTGTTTAAAAAATATACTTTTGGTGTATTTCAAAATAAAATCAAATGTTTTATAAAAAATTTTATTTTTAATTAAAAAGAAATCCAGATTTTTCAGCAAATAAATATTTATCATTTTAAAATTATTCAAAATATCTTTGTAGTTTACTGTAGTTTTTACTATAAAAATACAATCTTTTATGCTAAAAATTGTTATTCTAAAAGAAGATTTTTAAGAAAATTTGCATCTTATTTGATAGATCATAAACGAAATACGATAAATGATTCTTTAATTTTACAACAAACTCAACTATTGTTACAAAATAAGTATTGATTTCAATCTGATATTTCTTTTAGTTGATCAGATCTTCAAATTTAAGGAACTATATATTAATGGAAACTTACTCAACTTAAGAGAAGAGTACAGTCAATAATCTCTTTAAACTGCCCCTCCATGTACTGATAAGAGAACAGTGACTGTTTTTGGAAGATTTGCAAAGCCTAGTTGTTTTAAAAATTTCAATTCTTCTATTTATTGCCATTAGAAGCACAACAAAATGGGATAAATAGCCTTACCATATGTTTCTATATTCAATGGTTGACTCAACAGCGAATTTTCCATTGAGTCCCTCCGTTGAACTATCTGACATCATGTTTTGCAGAAAAAAGAAATGCTTTTGTTGAGAAGTTGCTTTTCAAGATGGCTGACTTAAGTAATGAGAAGGTGGCGATTGTGTCTGTTTTGCTAAATAATTAAAGTAACTTGCTTAACCATTATTCGAATAAATCCTTTTATTCAAATGAACCCATATCTGTATTACTTTCTTGTATACTGGGTCTTCCTTTAATAATTTTAATTAATTTCTTGAATATTTATATCATTAGGAAGACTTAGAGGGCCAAATATCAGTCATAATCAATTTTGGACAAATGAAAAAAATCTTAATATTTCAATATTGACCAAATTATCCAACATAATTGTGCAATCACATGTTTCATATACAGATTGTTCATTAATCTGTCTGCTATACAGCATCCACAGCAGCAAATGGATAGTTTTTATAAGCAAAATTTACTTCTTCATGGAAGCCGCCGTGTTAGTTTGTCAAATACTCAATGGTATTTCAGGTCATTGAGACCGTTGAGCTCAACGGTGAAACAGCACTGACATCACTAGTCTCAATGGAGAACTCAACGGTCTATTTAGAAATGTTGTTCTCTCACTGTTGAGTCAACTGTCGAATATAGAAACATACGGTTACTTTTCCAAGTACTGGTTGAATATTTTAATAGGGATATAAAAAGATAAAACTGTAACATCCTACTATTAATTAATTGTTCACATTGACTATCTTGTGACAGGGTGCACTATGTGGAAACACAATTATTTCCAGCAAATTGCATGGAAATTCTGCAATCACTTGATGCTAGCATAATAAAAAGTCTTAAATCTAACTACAGACAGCTCCAAGTAAGGAAAATTATCAAATGCATCAACAATGAAATTCATATTGAGATGTCCCTGAAATCCACACTGAGGCTAATTAAAAAAACCACGGAATAAAGTGATATCCAGGACAATAAAAATTGCTGGCTGCACACTGGCCTATTCAGAGAAAAGACACAAATTGACAAGGATAATAACAACAGTGCTCAAATGTTAGGTAGCCTATCTTTCAAACATCACTTCCACAATCCAACTTGCTGCTGAAGAATTGATTGAAATCAACCGTAATGAAGATAATTTTGTACAATTATCCTCAGAAGAAATATTTAATTTTGTGAAAAAAGAAGATAGTTAACTGCAGGAAGAAAATGAAGAAGACCACAACAACAAAGAGGTAGAAAATCCTCTAGTAACTGCAAAAGAAGGTCAGGCTTATTTAGAGAAAATTCATCATTTTCTGGGGGTAAGTGAATCCAATCAGGATTTTCTGATGCATATTGACTCATTAGATACATTTATCTCTATGACTTGAGGAAATAATGTAGTTCAAACTATTTTAGACACTTTTTTATAAGCAAAAAACAATAAATGTGATATAAATGAAGGAAAAGTGCTAATTATTCTTATTATCTTGACATTTCTATTTGCATGTTTTTGCAAATAGAAATGTCAAGATTTTGGTAAACCGCCACCAACCTCACCATTACATCATGGTCAAAAAATCAATAGTGGCAATTTACAGGGGCTTGACTGTATATATTATAGAAACATATACTCTTAAATTCTCTTAAAAGATATCTCTGGAAATTCTTTTATTATAATTATAATGATTAAAAGGGGCTTGACTGTATATATTATAGAAACATATACTCTTAAATTCTCTTAAAAGATATCTCTGGAAATTAAGCTGTTATAATTATAATGATTAAATTAAACATGAGAAATTTGTAAAAATGAATCTGTTCATGCGTAAAAAGACACAATGAGAAGTCTTGATTGTATAATGCAAAACAGAAAATATAGGAAATATAGAAAAATACTTTTCACACAAAAAGTATACACTTTATTTTGGATACAATAATACTTTTGTAGTAAATAATACATTATTACAGTATAATGTATACTTTATCTTCATTATTGATGAATTTTTTCTATTTAAGGAATTCTCCATCTTTCCAACAAGTAATTTTTTTGTATTATATTTAATACAGTCAAACAAGTTGAGTTTCAATGACATCACTGAAATAATGTTGATTTTAAGGATATACTTTCAACAGATTTAAATTTACAACTAAAGCTCTCATTACTTTAATATAAGTATTATAAACTAAATAAATTTGAAAAATTTCTTGTAAAGAATATATTCTACTGTGATAATCAAAATAACAGTCAAGAAATGACAATTCTAAATCAATAAAATATTAAAAGTAGAGTGGGTGATCAGTTAACGAACAGTTTGATTAATGAACAAATCGAATAATAACACCTCACAGAAGAAATACAAGAAGTGATGTAAAATAATGAATACTGATTGGTCTTCCCTTGTCTTCAGACAACAATTCTAAACTTATCGGAGCGTGGGAGACATCAACATTGACACTCAACCTGGTATATATTGATTGGATGATATTCCTCCAAACTGAAATTCTCCCTTGTAATTCCAGCCTTTTATTTTTCTGACAGAAACAATTCTTTTATAGTATTCGCAAGACTGTCGGGCAGACACTCGTTAAGTTTTGTGTCGGTTTTTATTTTCAAAAGGTGAGAGTATATCACAGATAGAGAGTGGGCAGATGTCTGTTGTTGCTGGGCAGTATGGCTTGAACAGGTCTACAGTAGGCCACAGTTCACACATGAATTTTTTGAGATATGAGAACAACCAGAAGTTTGAAGGAGCTAAATCTGGCAAACAGGGTGGATGTTGCAACATGATGAGGGCA